GGGGGGGGGGGTGGAGACAAGAAATTATACACCCCAGTACTCAGAAGTAAAAATAGTATTGTCGTTTCTAGGCTCTTGCAGCAGCTGTAACTTTGTTCAATGACATAGTTACCCACAAAGGATGAGATTTACAGACGACTTAAGACTCGTGAATGTGAAGAGAAGAGTTAACAGTTGCAGGGAATCATAACTGTAAGAATCAGACAATAAAAATCTTGTATTGTTGTCTCTAGTCTCATCCTTTGTGGGTAACCCTGTATAACAAAATTAAGAGACATTTCACGAAGAAAAACGATAACGACAATAATTTTACTGTTTCCTGGGAAGCACTGTAAAAAAAACAACTTACTTGTTAAAGTATCTGACAAACCCAAACCCACGGTTCTCTTTAGTTCTGTAATCCTAAAAAGAATATTTTAATAATTTTATATTTTAGATAATTCAGTTTAACCAAAAACTTCTCAAAACATCAAAGAATTTAAAAATTTTGTTTTCTAAACCTTTTGATAATCTTGTTTGAATAACTGAATTGAGCTCTTTAAAACTGTTCCTATATTTTTCATGGCTATTTGTTTATGTTTAAAATGACTGAGAATTAGGTAAAACCGTATAAAAATATAAAACCTATTGAAAAGTTGTGAAGACGACATTTTATAACTTCTTTCGATGTCTTTTAAAGTTCTGGGTACCTAATCCCCCCAAAAAGTTGGAAAATTAAGAATTCGTGAAAACGTTGAAGAAATTATTAATTAAAAGAAGAATAGGATGAATGGGAAATCAAGTTTAATCAAATTTCTGAGTCGTAATTAAATAATCCTATTTTCAAAGGAGATAACATATCATAAAATTTTTTTGTTCTATTGTTTAATTATCAGAAATTCGCCCCCCCCCCAAAAAAAAAGCTCTTGCTAAACGACAACGCGGTTTAAACATGCTTGGTTCAGCTGGAAATTTTAATTATGTTAAGAGATTTGAGCCGGCGCCAAACTAGAACCGGTTATGGGCGGTTCAGCGACCACGTGGTTCAAATTCTTTTAAATTCGGCCTCTGAGCTGAAATCTTTTAAATAGAAGATGACTTAAATGATTTAAAGCCATCCTATCAATAATCAAAGATCCAAGTTTTAATTAAAATTCATGAATCTTAAAATTCGACCAATAATCAATATTAATAAAAAATATTAAGTGTAACCACTAAATTTTTAAGTTGAAGTAAATGTTGCTCTATAAGCTCCCGAGATATAAAGTTAAGTCTAAGTGATTTATTAGTAATTAGTTAGTAGTTAATAGTTATAGATTAGACTCGTCTCTAAGATTTTTTTTCGTAACAAATTACAAGACTCGAGCCTTAGCTTAAGATTATACTCTTCTTTAAAAAATAAGTCCCGAGATATCTCAAGACTCGAGCATCATTTTAGTCCTAATAGAAGCTTAGTATTAAATTAAGTATTATTCAACTAACCTTAGGAATATAAACATCTCCAACCTTTCCATACTTGTCGAACAAGGACTCTAGGTCCTCCAGGTTGGTCCTGTGAGACAACCCGTCCACCTTCAGCGACACCATCCTGATCATACAGGAGGTCAGACATTTAGACAACAAGGTTAGATATTTAGACAACAAGGTCAGATATTTAGACAACACGGTCAGATATTTAGACAAGGTCAGATATTTAGACAAGATCAGATATTAAGACAACAAGATCAGATATTTAGACAAAAAGGTCAGATATTTGTCAATTCAAGGAAAAAAGGTCAGACGTTTCGACAAGGTTAGATATTTAGACGACAAGGCCAGATATTTAGACAACACAGTCAGACATTTAGACTACACGGTCAGATATTTAGACAACAAGGTCAGATATTTAGACAAGGTCAGATATTTAGACAACAAGGTAAGATATTTAGACAACAAGGTTAGATATTTAGACAACAAGGTAAGATATTTAGACAGATCAGATATTTAGACAACAAGTGAAGATATTTAGACAACAAGGTAAGATATTTACAAGGTTAGATATTTAGACAAGATCAGATATTTAGACAAGATCAGATATTTAGACAAGATCAGATATTTAGACAAGATCAGATATTTAGACAACAAGGTCAGATATTTAGACAATAAGAAGTTCAGATATTTATACAAAGTCAGATATTTAGACATCAAGGTCAGATATTTAGACAAGGTCAGATATTTAGACAAGGTCAGATATTTAGACAAGGAGGTCAGACATTTAGACAAAATAGTTAGATAAAAGGTCAGATAATTAGACAAGGTCAGAAAACTCAATGAAGGACAACTGAAGACAAGAATGTGGGAAAAGGCAACTAATTCAGAAAAGAAAGTCCGAATAACAGACCGCCAGGAGATTAGACGTGGCAGACAAGGTCAGACACTTCACAAGGTCAAATAACTCAGACATGGAATAGATCGGACAATACAGACAACAAGGTCTGACAATTCATAAGGTCAAATAACTCAGACATGGAGTAGATCAGACAATACAGACAAGGTCTGACAATTCACATGGTCAAATAACTCAGACATGGAGTAGATCAGACAACAAGGTCTAACAATTAAAAATAACAAGGGGTACAAACATTTCAAGAAAACAAAATGAGACAATTCAGAACAAGGAGGTTGGGCATTAAGAAAAAAATTCAAGACAATTTAGACAGGGTCTGACAATCAAGACAACTGGGAGAAGGAGGTCAATTTACTCAAAGGAGTTCAGCCAACTCAAACAAGAGGTCATACAATTGTGACAACAAGGAGGTTGTTTAATTTAGCAAGTTAAAAAATTCTGATCCTGAATTATTAAGCAACTAAAAATAATCACCTGCTGGTATCTGGAGGGGGCCCACGCCGAGCCATTTTATCTGAAAAAATAATATTTTTAAAACCATTTTCTTAACTCGACTTTCAATCAAAATCATGAGGACGTAAATCAAAGAACAGAATTTGAACTTGATAATATACGAGTTTAAGTAGTGAAAACTAAATAATTTTAGAAACAAGGCCTGATAAAAAATCCCATCAATTTGTCACAAAATATGTCAACAACTTTTCACCTCAAAATGGTTGAGAAAATGCCAATGAAATAGTTACTCATAACAGTAAAACAAACTGCCGATGAATCGGTTATACAAGACACTTATTATTTTGAAACTGAAGACCAGAGAAAAAATATGTTAAAACACGTTTTAGAAACACAGAAAAAAAAATCTGTTAGAAAGTCTCTTATTTTGTAGAAATAACGATAGTTCTGAACGATTATCATATTTCTTGTAAATCCTGACATATGATCCCGCAATAATTTTATGATCTTGATCGTGATCGTGATCGTGATCGTGATGCTGATTTGGATCTAGACTTAGATCTTGACTGAGATACTGATCTTGATTTATCTCTTCTTGGAGATTTAACTTCAGAGCTTGATCTTGAATCTCGCCGCTTGGGACTAGATCGGCGGCCGGACCTGGACCTAGACCGACGGCGGGATCGAGAGCGGGATCGGCGACGACGATCCCTGGAACGACTGCGAGATCGTCCACGACCTCCACGACTATGTCTGTTCTGCTCAGGTCGACCGTATTTCGCCATTTGAATCCTGAGGTCGCGGCCGTCATACATTCGGCCATCCAGGGCGTCCATTGCGTCTTCTGCGTCACGCCTAAAAAATAGCAAGTTATTTTTTTTACTGACTGAACAAGTTGCCAAAACTTAATAAATTGAGCAAGAAGGGGAAAATGAAAGTCTGTATTGCAATAGGACAATCATCTGAGAAAGCGAGTTTTTCCTCTATTTTCAACATCAAATTGATTGTGTTTAATTGTGGTTCTCCATTAAGGAGACTTGCGTATTTAAGGAAAGAAAGAGGGACTTGAACTTTTTCGAAAGGGTTTACACAAATTATTAACAACGTTATCAGAATTAGTGACACTTAAAAAATCTTTTTTTTCTTGTTTTAATTATTTCATTGATGTATATTTTCTTTAAAATACCCCTCTCTCCCTCAACAAAAACTATTCTCGATATTTTATCTATCGCTAGTTGCGAAAAAATGATAAATTTTCAGTAATGTATTTCACGCCAATAAGAACCCAAAAAGAAAGAAAAAAAGTCCCAGGACACTTGCTATTTTTAATTTTAGCGACTAATCCCGTTGTAATAAACTTACTGGTCTAGAAACCTGACGAAGGCGAACCCCCTGCTCTCCCTGGTGTTCTTGTCCTTGGGTATATAGATGTCCCCGACCTTCCCGTACTTCTCGAACAGGTACTCCAGGTCCCTGTCATTGGTTCGGTAGGTCAGGTTGTCCACCTTCAAGGAAACCATCCTAAAAATAGATCATAAAATTAATTTCAACTTGAGACAAAAAATTTAATTGTTAAAGGGACCGTAAACTTAACTTCAAGAGATGAAAAGATAACAATACCGATTCACAACGGTGCGCTTAAAAGATATGACTGATCAAGTATGAATTAGAAATCAATGTTTGTAATTTAGAAAAACTGAATGTGTTTCTCTACAAAAGAAATTGGGCATTCCTACAGCAAATAAATGCAGAAATTTAACTAAACCCTATCAGTTCAAATTAAGTTTGCAATCCCTTTAATAAGTTTTAACTCGAAAACTAATATATAATTTTATTTCTATGAACTTCAAGTTTTAAAAATTCTCAATAAAATTGTCGGTTAAAATTGCCCCCCCCCCCCCCCCCCC